CGCAGTTGGCGAAGGATTGTTTACGGGTATGTTCCAAATGCCTTCTCTGAAATTTTCTGTGTAATTAGTGCAATAAATCGTGCATAATAAACTGATAAAGTTTAATGTATATTCGTGTAAATATAAGAATCATTCGAAGAAATTAAATGCTCTGTCATCCAGCTGTAAGGTTTGGTGGAAATGCTTAAATTCTAAAGAAAATTCAAGGGGTCAAGCTTGAATTGTCATAGAAAAAATCCACCTCCTATTTGTGAGGAGATGAGCATGGCGCACACACAAGATAAAATACTCCACTCCAATACAAACACAAAAATTCTAGAATATTTATGAAAAGTCAAAGGAACATAGAATTATGAAAATCCAGGAAGTTCATGTTTCTGACAAAACCCAACCAAAGTTTTTGGAGATTTCCCTAAAATCTCGATATGCTAGTCTAAGGTCACATGCATAATTATTCTCGACATTATTAAAACGCGAACAAAACATCTCACAAGTTTCTTTTGATCTGCTCTTCTTTGCCATAAGATGAACTATTCACTACGCAGGTATCCTTAAAATGAGTTATGTATAATCTATTATGAGCTTCATTTAACTCTTCAAAGCACATTGGTAACTACACGCATCATCTCCTTTAAAACCCAATAATATTGACTTTGCCCATATTGTATTTATGGGTTTCGTATCCAAGTTTACTGTAAGAAGATAAATGCCTCTCTTCCCAGTGTGCAACAACGTACTTAACAAACATTTCGATTAATAATATAGTCCCAAAACCCACTTGATTTCCTATTGCAGAAACACTGTAATCAACAATTACCCTGGGTAATAACATTTGCTTAATTCTTATTAAAACATTATGTGGACGGGCGAATGAAGTGAACAACATCTAAAGAGACCTTTGGTTCCTTTTTGTATCCAGTGTACGGGCGAAATTCCGACTTAAATTTCTGTCAAATGTTAAATTAAGTTTCAATAGTCAAGTAAGCAAACACAGCCCGTTACATGAGCTTTGCTCCATTTCAGATATTATTCATACACTTTTCAATGGAGGCAGGAATTCAGTAACGGTAACTGACATTATCATCCATCTTGTCAGCCTTGATTTCTGTTCACATAGACTAATAATGGAAACGAACAGAATGTCATATTCAGCTGTCAACACTGACATAAAATATCGTCAACTACAGCTCAATAATGTAATTTCTCAGTGTGACAGCTTAGTGCCATTCCTACTAACACGCAAACGATATCTACGCATAGAATGTGGAAAGGTCGAAAGTCAATTACAGTGACGTGGAATTGTCATACTAAGTTAAAGTATAGGCGACGTCTGTTAAGAAATTAAGACTAATACCGATTCAAAAGTATTCTTGTAATTTCAAACGCTAAAGACTGAAAGACAGAAATATCTCATTTCCAGGACCACCAGTAATTAGATATTTTACAATCAGCAAAACCACCATCATCATCACCACCACCACCAACAGCCTCATAAACAAAACCACTAACTCTGCCATCGCCACCAAGACCACCATTATAACGATCAGCCCACCTCAACAATCACCAAAACCATCAGCCAACCAGCAGAACCATGAGCTGTACAAACATAACCAACAGCCTACCACCACAACCACCACCATCCCCACTGCAAAAAATACCGCAAGTGCCAACCAGTCAGCAAACCACCAGACGTAGTACCACAACTACAATCTTCAGAACTAAAACCATCACCCGAATCAGCATAATCCGTAGTCTCAACTCCGCTACCAAACTTGACACAAGAACCACAAGCAACCCACTATCACAACCATAATCACATAAAACACCACTACCACAGCGAGCTCCAATACAACAACCACAACTACCACCAGCCCCTCCGACCCCAAAAAACCCCCACACAACCAGCTCAAAAACTACAAGTATCTATGTAAGATTTAAGTACCTAGTCTACACCACCAGCTCCACTTCCATAACCATCAGGTAAACCATCACAAAACCCAACCAACAACAATAAACTACAACCAGCTCCACACCACATTAACCTCTGTTCCACCAAAAGAATCACCAGTCAAACAGCAAAACCACAATCCCCACCACCTCAGTGGTGGTGATAAACACGTGGGTGCAGATACAACTTCTGCGGGCCAGAGGTTGACCTTGGGCGATTCGTTTATGAAACTGTCTATATTCAGCTTTGAACCCCTTGATAGTTTAAAATTGCTGCTTGTCATGTGTGCGTCATTTCTCGTCGTGTTTTGTGAAAACCACTTCAATGCACATGTGCTTTGTGGCATAAACTTATCAAAGCCACAATGTGCATAGTCCGGATAGCTTACTCATTACGAGGTGGACAACCGCGGAAGGTTCACGACAGAGGGGCATATGAACGTCAACACCAGGCTCAAATCTTATCCTACCGGGTGGTAACGGGGGATCTTTCCCCGGGGGTAAAGCGGCCGGAACCCAAACATAATTATTCATATCTGATACCAACGTCTGTAATATGTTAAGTTTTACAACCATACATTTTTTTTCCCCATTCATATTGGTACATCTTTTTGATTTATTTTCTAAAGTATGACTTAACCACTTCAAATTCATTGCTTTGTTCCAAATATAAAAATTATCGTAGTGCGACACGTTATTACGATAGGTACTCAAGAGTTGACAAAAACAAAATGGATTCATTACTCGCTTTGTTTAACGGCCGAGAGATATAAATATGTTTATTCGATCTTTTTACGAGATTCACAGCATAACTTACATTAACAGATCACACATTATTCGATTTTCTTACTGAATAACGGCTGTTTACAGCATTTGAGAACAACGCAATTTGTATTAAAATATTCGTAAAAGAGTCTTGTTTTCTCGAAAATGTGGCACAAGTTAAATTATGTAATATTATTCACACACGGTTACATCGTATTTCCAGGATTTTAGAAGCGATAAAAAACTGTACAAAATATTTAGAAACAAATGCTCTTATCAAACGAAAATAAAAAACTAAGGACGTACTACCAGAATGCGTATTACTGGAACATAAGTTATTCCAGGGACTGCCAAATACAGCATAAAAGTTGCTAGTTATTAAATCTACTGAACTACACAAGCTACCGATATGGACAGACACGATTAGAAGAATCCACATAGAACGGACAGCATTACGTACAAAGACACCAGGTGTAAAATTTAATGAAGACTATAGTTCAACTTTGTATAGAATTTGTCCAGTTATTTCTCTCAATAGCTTATCAGACATATCAATTCTATAGTCGAAAAAACGTTCTAACGTGAAGTAAAAAAGTATTATTTTCACCAAATTCAATAAAATATCTTCTTCCGGTATCGGAAATGAAATCCTAAACAAGGAGCTGTAACTACGACAGAAACTATGGAGACTGTCTCAGTGTGTTGTGTTCAATTTAAAACTTAACTGTCCCAGTTTGGGCGCACAAATTATATTCGCAAAGGAACACAGCAATCCTAAGCTTCGCTAAAACACAATTTTTTAATGTTCTAATCTCCTTTTCCACTGACTATTAGGGATTTCGGTGGTGAACACGCCGAGAAATGTTTTTTTCTGGCTTCCTGTGTAGTCCTACCAGTAACTAACCATCTCTCGCTCTCTCTTTATCGTATGTCTGTGCAGGTAACCACTACACACGTCTTGCGGCAGGCGTACACTCACCATACCGCGATGTTTCTAACTTTGCCCTATTGATCAAATACCACTTTTAACCTCATCCATTCCTCTCCTAAATGCTCACATATTCTCATTGTCTTATAATTCTGTGTTCTCATACCAGAGCTTTGTTCTTGGTTAATCCGAGGTTTACTTATAGACAAGAGCAATGATGCTGACACGTCCAGACCGGCTCTAAGAAGCCCACACAGTCCCCCATAACATGCAGATACCTTGGGGCTTTTCCGTGTGTAAAACTAGCACAGCGTGAACCTAAGCCCTTATTTCATTTAGGTGCAAAGATCAAGAAAGCGTGGAGCTGTACGTCCATTCCCCTGTACGCACTCAAGGTGATGTGAACACGCGTATTAATTCGAACGTAAAGCGGACCCCCACTCAGCCTTCTGATAACCGACTGTAGTAGCCTATAGCAAAACATGTAGTTTGGACTGCACCATTACACTCTATTATGACAAATTAAACGCTAATAAAAGTACTATAATATAAATAAACTACCTAAAATCTTAGCCGGATGGACTGGATTTTTCGGTGGCTAGTTCCAGACCATAGTTTTTTTCAATTCCGGCGCGATTTATTTTTATTTTAATATTATTGCCGTCCACATTACGCAACCGCCCTAATTAGGTACTACGCCACGCTACAACTATCAATCCCAACTCCGGTTTCCGAAATAATGTTCAGTCCTTCCGGGAGGCTAGGCGAAATAGTCTAAGAGAAATAAAAAATCCCTTAGAATTATCAGCGTCGGGGGTTCATATTTGAACTTGAGACCTCCCGAATAGGAAGCAGGAAGACAGTTTTGTGCCCTCCTCTATCACCCTTGCCTTCTCTTGTCATCTCGTTTAAAATTACGAGCCTCTGACAACCGAGCAACGCATGTCGCCGAACCAACTAGTAGAGTACATTTCTGTTGAATGAGAATGAATGACTAAGTGATAAAGTGAGAGTTACTGATTTATGAAATGGAAGATTGGGTGAGTTGTCAGTAAGTCGAGAGGGTTATCAGGTCAGACAGCAACTCTGAGACAAGAACTCGAATCTCAATCAATCTGTCGGTCCCTCAGAAAACAGCGCGAATCAACAGCCCGCTCCGTACGGATGAACAGGCTATGGTGCACCTGTGCAGGCCTTAAGCCCAGACCCACTGCCATTGCCCTTGATAGGACAGGCGTCGCTCGGTTGACGTCATGGACCTGCGTGCTCGATCTCGACTCGCCCCCCCTATAATAGCCCACCCCCTGCCCTGTGCGTGACCCGCACTATGCAACACACCACCACTTCTAGTCTAGTCTAGCAACTGCGTTGGACTAGCCATGGGAGTGTTGAGAGGTCCTGGGTTCGAGCACCATCAGCAGCATTCACCTCAACACCAGCCTCTAAGTGAAGAGGCCAGTCATTCTACAGTAGCTAACCCAGGTAGGTCATCGTCTGTGTTGGACGCGTGTCATTGAAACGTGAGCAACAGTGCGCCTCTCTAAGTGAGATCAAACCAACTGTTGCTGACACTAGCGGTAAGAACTCTCTAATCTACAAATCTAACATCACGTCCCGTACTATTTAGTAAGTGAGGATATTTTACACGCTCTACGTTCAATTACGGCATGTCGTCTCAATTCTTTCCTGTTAACACAAAATATAATTGTTAGTTTGCAGATACCAGCCAACAGCATGACGCAGAATGTATTAGAATTAACGTCTCTGATCAAAATTACGACTATCTCACTGGGGATTTAAGACAAATAATTCCTAGTAATGAATTCGAATAACCTTGCATGTTACACCTCTCGTTCTGATTTATCTGTAACGTTTTTACTTATAACAACTTTTTATAATGAACCTGCAATAGTATAACTACAGTTTTTTATACGTGCTGTAGTATTTAAATGAGTGTAATAAAAATGCCTTAAATTAATTTATAAGTTCATAAGTAGATGATAGTATAAGTTAGATTGTTTTGTTTAAGTTTCTCCATACCAAATGTAATCGAAAATAATGAAAGCTATATCGATTACATTTGGTATTGACAGTCAGCACTAACAGCTTAATTTTGGTTCGTGAATATTATCTAATTTCAGTTAGTTTTAAAATAAAGTTAATCGAATTTCTAACCAGCAAAATATCAGTACATGAATGAACAATTACTCACTAATATCTGTAGGCGTGTATTTCAGGATCTGTTTGAAATATTTTTGATAGGATGAACGTTTAACTAAACTTAATGGAAAATAAATTTACGACTACACAGATGAAAACATGACGTGAGATTGATTTTGTAACAATACATATTACAGACTACAGCAATGAATGAAGAGGTTTGCAAAATCTTTGAGAATGCTCTTTGAGAATGCTCTTTGAAATTAGAGATGTTTTAGCCTATTAATTTATTACAATACGATTTTAAAACATATACATATACTTACTTTTCTTCTAGTGTGTGTACAGTTATGAAATGAGCGGAGTCCTGATAAAATGAACAGCAAGAATTGTCTGATTAAGGCCACAGACAGCAGCGGCTATTAAAGTTAGATGCAATTTCCTCTTACATTTAGGTCAACTCGGTTGGTATTACAACTTTTATGACAAGTGTATTACTATTTTTAACTGTATTCATAATTACATCTAATGTAAGAAATTAAAATAATCTCATGGACAATATGCAATGTAAACTCTGCTTTATCCGTAATGCATTAATCCGATGGTCTGGATTAAAGTGCGTTTGCTGTACTAATCAGAAAGAAACATCTCTACACAATTTTCACATAAAACTTTAAGCAGATAGACCAAGCGAAGTTTGTTGTAACAGTTTACTTTACGATACATGAATACGCATGCGTAGTAAAGACCTTTAGAATGCATACATTAAATCAGTTATACCGAATATTAATTCGTCTGGGTCGATAAGTCTTCACTTCTTTAAACTAAACGCACGTCACTGAGCATCAGTATTTATTGCATTGGAGTTCACTCACATTTGTTAATTTCAAACTGTCAAAATTCCTTTTATTGGCTTTAATTTCAGTTCCGCTACAAACTCTGGACTTGTGACACTCTGTATATTTAGCTTGACTGACTTCCAAAAGACTAAAGATACGTATGTGCTGTGCACTATAAGTTATAAAACAATACCTTATAAGAGTTATTTCGTAAGGCCGGAAAGTACGGCATCTTAACTTCGGAGATCTTACGAGTATACAGATTATAATTGTATGAGAAGAAAAAGTTCACGAAAACATATACACTTAGGACGAATAAAGAAAAAGATAGAGCATGCAGCCAAGAAATTAGTATGAGACGGACATGTAGCTTGGGTGGGAAACAAGAACTGCATACATGATTTTGGAGAACGGTCACCTGAAATACTGAAGTGGAGTCGAGAATATAACATTGAAATGAGCGTTCGAACTAGGATGTGTAGGTGTAAGGTGGATGGAACTGATTCAGAGTTATTTTTAAAGCAGAATGAACTTCGGGTTTTGCTACCACAGATTTAACGAAATAAGAACTGCTTCGTCTCTGTCCCATCCCAATTTTCCATTTATTACCACACTTCAAATAATTCATTATTTTACAAAGTAACCTAAATAGACGATACAGCGTTTCTATGAACCTATGTATAATCTAAATAGAAGTCCTCGTTTTAATATTAAGATTTTAGGAACTGAACGTGAAAATTAAGCCTTCGAATAATCTGAGCGACTCCGAACATTTTATGTCCTGTACTAATATTTAGTAGCAGTAGTAATATGCTTAAAGTAGCTTCTTTGAATAGAATTTTCTATGCCACACAAATGACATTTTTTTTCCATAAGCTCAATGTTAGACAGGAGTGAGTAAGCTACAGGACGGACCATTCAACAGTAAACTTGGCATGTGATCTTTAAGTAATACCGTAATACGCGGAGGAAGTAATTACTACCATCAGCATAATAACGAATTTCAAGACACATATTCATTTACTGTATCAGAGTTACTGAAAGCGCTGTCGTATGTCAGATAACGTGCATAAGGTACTTGATAATTTATGGATGCTAACTGATGGAATGGGAAGGAGAATAATGACCAGAAAAAGCTTCCATTGGTTGATTAACAGCTTTAATTATGAGAAATAAACTTTCTTGGGTATATGGGAAAATAATGAAAATTTGTATTCGGGAAACTTGCTAAAGAGCACGTTTACTCCATGTTATATGCCTCTTAGTCTCCGTTTCCTTTGTCTTTATCTTTTCCGAACATTTCCTATGTAAAATTCTTCACACTCGACTTCTTAACTTCTACATTCTAAAGACAATTTGCCAGCCAAATTCAAACAATTCGGTTACTCGACATTCTATTTCTTCAGGGTTTTCTGCTTTCAGTTCAACCTACTGTGCTTTATTCTAAGGTTTCGCCAGCCATAGGATTGTCTCCGCACGTGACCACAACGGATATGACGCTACTCAGCCACGTCTCTGATTAATTATCATCCTCGAATTGAAGATTTAATCTGATTTAACATTTCTCTCTAGCTTTAGACGACAAAAATACTCGCATATATATTAAATTCGAGCTGCAGTATAAATCATTTATTCTTGAATAGAAAAACGAATGAAAGGTAAAGGATCTGTCTTCCTAAACGACATTCTTTTAAAGGGACTGAAGAAAAGTTGTAAATGACGACGAGCATCTCCTTGAACACAGAGTTCAGATATAAAGAATGAATTCAAGGAAGTGCCCATGTAGAGAATAAACATTGGTTTTATATTTTACATGTTGAAGAATATGTATACCGAGATTTGTACGTGCTTTGGAATATTCTTATGAATGTGTATTAAAACATATTACATACAGCAATATGGGGAACGTCCTACTGTTAAGCGTTCATCCAGGTAAATGTTAATAACATTTATTTTCACCTTCATCTTAAATAATTCAAAAGTCGGTTAAAACTATCAGAAACCTTGCAGCAGTATCGTTGGAAGAGAACGTGTCCCCCTAAATCTAAGCACCACGCCTTGATTCTGTTACGGTCCTGGAGGTGAAACTCCATTCATTCCAGACTTCGACATTAAGGGCCTCGATTTCAGATTCATGCTCGGACATCCGATCTTCATTAAACACGAGGTTGTGCACACATCTACATACATAATTAAGCCACTGCATAAGATCCTATTGTTTCTGGAAAAAACACATTTCCCTCGTGAAATCCACACAGCACAACCCGCAAGCATCAGATCAATAATCTAACTGCCACGAAGACAGTCACCGCAAGGCTTCACGATGGTACTGAAGATTCGAAGGGCTAAGGAAACATCTGGAGCAAAGCGGGAAGGCAAATTGCACGCAATAATCCAACTGTTGCATCCTGAGAGCAACAGGTACCGAGTTTATTTCTTCTGGGAAGATAATCAATAATATCACAGCAATAAATCCTCTTTCCTCGACCAGGAGATGACGACTGCATACGAATGAGCCAAGCCCACAAGTGGGAGACAACCATGAGCAGATAGATACCACATATTCTGATAAACATAACTCCATCGGGAATAATCCTTCTTGAGGCAACGACACTCTCTCAGCTAGTCAAGAATTTGCACGCTTTTTATGCAACCAGACTGTTCATTGCCACGATCACGACAGCCTGCTCGAGGCCCAATGTACCATCTAGCACCGCGTCCATCCCCCAAGTAGGAATTTCGAATATTTTCGGCTGTCCGTGACTGCTTATTCATATATTCGCAGGTGCATTCCATTTATGGAATATTAAGTTACTTTGAAATGTAATCAGCTTCTGTCCAAACAAGCGAAAACCATAACGTGCAAATATTAAAGTAACTTACTATTACCACAGAGTACTTTAATAACATAAAAATACTACTTAGGTTCTCAAGGAGGACTCTGCTCGTGCATTTGGTAGAAATATCAGACAGTTTAAGTTTCAAAACAAATGTTACGACTATGAGATATCGTTGTAACATATCACAATATAGACAAATTTCAGAGGTCGTTACAGTAATCTGTTAATGTATCTTAGTCCATTAACAAAGAACTAAATATCCAAGCATTCCTATATAAAGTCACTTTAAACATAATTAGTGAAATCCGACCCAAATATCTGCTTAAATTATTGTAGGATCCGGGCATGGTTTTTGCGCATCAGAGCACCACAAATTCCTTTTAATTAGCCCATTCCATTATATTCTTAAAGATAAAATAATCTTACGGGTGCCATCGCTTATCTTGAATCAACTGAAGTGTTTTTGTTAAACTTGTCACAACAGCGACTGGCATCTCCGTAATGTTTAACTCTGTATCGCCATTAACACAAAGTCTAGACCGTAACACGTCCAACGTAATGACGATTTCTCGTGGTCTGAATGTCACCTTGTAACTATTAAACACCAGTGAAAATAAAATTCAAAGACCAAACAGTGAGTTCA